CGGTTATATGAGCAGGCGCGTGCCGGACAAACTGGGAGAGTAGTGGTTACTACTACAACACCGAAGCCAAAAACAACGACCACACAGCGCGCCTTGCCATTTGGTGGTTTGAATGAAGCGGACTTGCAGCGCTTGTTTGAACAGGCAGGCGCGCTGCCTAGCAGCACGATAACTGTGCCTACTACCACAATAACAATTTCAACAACGGCGCGCACGCCAGCGCCTAGCTATCGCGAGTTTGAGCAGCTGCAAAAGTATTTTGCAGAGTTGGAGCGTACGCGCACTAGCACCAGCACAACAACTACTACCACAACTACACCTGCACCTACTACCACTACCACCACAAGCGCGCCAACTACAACGACATCCACTAGCACCACAACATCAACTACGCCAACGCCTGCCGTCAGTTCGATCGATTTGGCTCAGCGCATCACAAATGGCCTCAGCGCGCAAAAGCCCAAGAAGCCGGACGCTGACAACGATCAGTTGCAGGAGCTCATCAATCGTGTACAACAGCTGGAACGTTTGAATTCGGATAAGCTTGAGAACAGCATACGCGCGACCACAACGGATACGCCCATACCATTCGTTGGTTTCACTACGCGCAAGGTAAATGCGCCTAATCCCAAATCCAATGAACTCCGCGCGCCCTCGAATGATTTCGCGCATCTGCAAGAGCTCTACCAACAGGTTGCGAGCGCGGAACAAGGCGCTTTTGGGCGCGTTGAAATCTCTACTTCGGCCACTGCTGCGAAACCTTCTTCCGGCAAGCGCACACAAAATTTCGCACAAAAAATAATCGACATCACCAATGACACTGGCTCCGGTAGCAGCTTGCAAGAAGTGGATCCCAGCGACTTTGTGCAACTACAGAAGTTGCTGAGTAAAGTACAGGAGCTAGAGCGCGTGAAGATCCATGGCGTGCAGGGCATCTTAGAACCAGCCACGCCTACGCCAACTGTAAGCAGCTATACAAAGGATATCTCGACTTTGTCCAATCTGGTAACCTCCGCGTCGGCGCATACACATGCCGTACAAAACACAAATGGAGCGCAGATTATTTACCCCGAGAAGGCGCATGAGTACAAACCATTCGAGAACATACTCACGCCGGAACATCAGCAGCCAACAAAGTCACATGTGGACAAGAAGGGAGAGGCTGTGCCAGAACCCACCTCCAGCGAGGAGTTACGTGAGTTGGCTATGCCGGCACCAGCGAACCCAAAGAATTCATCATTCGACAAAGACTTTGAACAGTATCAGGAGTTCTTTAAGAAACTCGAGGATGAGGAGCGCAACTCGTACCAGAATATGCAGCCGCCGATAATACAAAAAACTGTGACGAAGGAGCCCCCGCGTTTCATTGCGACACACAAACCGCAAAAGCCCGGTAATGGGCAGCAGAAGGCTGATCTCGAAGAGCTGCAAAAGCTCTTGAGCAATGCTCAGGAGTTGGAAAAATTAGGCATCACTTTGCCAACAGAATTATCCCAGCAGATTGAGACCAAACTTACGAAGCACGCGAACAATGAAAGAGCTGAAAAACAATTGGGGTCTACTACCGCAAAGCCAGTGCATATAGTCACTGCAGAGCGTCCCAAAGCCAATGGAGAGTATATTGACCTAATAAGCAATTTGGGTGCTATAAGCTCAAGCACCACCTTCCCCACAACGAATCACGATGCAACCAGCGCTGAAAGTGTAGATGCGTCTAGCGAAAAGGAAGCCTTCTTTTCGCTTACGACGCCAAAGTCGCTGGTACCAAAAGAGCCCAAGCCTACCACGTCCAGTGCGCTCGACCTTCCCGTTTTTAGCGCAACTAAGATCATAGAAGCGGCTATCAAGCGCGCAGCCAACAAAATTGGCGTTTCCACTGAGCAGACACTAGGCTTCCAAAGGCGTAGCGATAAGGATGTGTATGCCGACATGGATCCTGGGAGCATGGACGATTTGATGGGCGAGTTTAGCGAAATGAACTATCAGCTAGCGTCACCAGATTTACCGGCAGGCACGTCACAAAGCGATGTGCCAGTAACTACTTTGAAAAGAGATACCAGTCAGCTACCGCCAGTTGAGGATGCACCCGTTGACATAACAAAAGATTTGCATGAGCTGCAGCGCTTAATCGGCAACCTGCAGGAGCTGCAACGCTTGAACCTCAGCGTATCTTCAGATTTGCTGCGTAAAGCGGATGCAAAGTATTTGGAAACGCTGAAGAAGCAGCAAGCAGCCGCAGATGACACTAGTAAAAGTCGGCGCCAAAGTGTTACGCCGCTTATAGTGATGGCAGTGAGTGCCGCCACCGGTGAGAGCACAACAGGAAGCGCAACAACAGACACCAGCACAGAGAAGAGCGCGGCCGACGGCGATTCTGATCTTGCTCCAGAACCGGTAGACGTGGAAGCTGCGGCAAGCGCTGCAACGAACAGCAACAGTGCGACAGAAGTGAGCAGCAGCAGCAGCACGACAACTACGGAAGAACCGCGCAATGGCTCGCTGGCCGATCTGGAAGACTCTTTTGGTGGCGTCGATACGAATAAGGAAGAACCGAAGCCACCCAAACGCAAGAATGGTTTCTACTTCTTAGCCGATTGGAATTCCTTCCTCGAAGTGGGTGATGGCGATGACCAGGTGATAGTGCGCTTGAGTCCGAAAATAGGCGATCCGCGACTATTTTTACCAGTGAAAATACCATAAAGTGGGTTAAAGGGGCTGTAGCGTGTAAGTGCAAATGCAGAGTGGATTATTTTTGTAAATATTTATTATAATTAGTTTTGTTTGTAAGAGATTTCACAAAAAAAAATCAACTACAATTTGGATGGAGTCGAGTGCAATAGATGAGAAGCTTCTGACTCTTGAATGACGGGACCGAAAATTATATTTTTTTTTTGAGTTGCTGTTGCTTTATTAATTTTTTCTGCAACGAGTATAATTTATAAGGGAGGACCTGCCGGTTGCTGTGCCCTGGGATAAAGTTTCGGCACTGCAAAGTGACAAGATCCGTCTGGTTGGGGTGGTGGAATGACGCCGCTTGAGGGAGCCTCTTAGACTGACAGATTAGTAACTCTGCTCTTAGAAAAATTCAGTGGAGAAAATATCTAAGTTTGCCATTTTCCAGGCTGCCATCAAACCTAAACCCAATCTGATTCGTCTTTACCATATCGACCAGACCAAAGAGGTCGTAAGGTAGCTCTCCGAGTTTGTATCCCTTGGTTAAGGTATATCGTTGCTAACCAAACCTATACTTTTGCCGAGGATAAATATAAAGCTTGAAGTAGGCCAAATGGTCACTAGCCGGTTCCAATACACATAGGCCACTAAACGAATATTTCGATATTCCTAGGCTTAGTCTACAAAATAAAAAAATCACTCTTAATTTCCGGTGATGCCTCCGGTAGCAATATGTCGGCTATATTCCTTACTGTAAGCGAACGGGGTACCATTGTCACCAGACTATCCACAGATCCATAATTTGTTAGTTTGTGAGCCAGCTCGTTCAGAATTATTCCATGTCCCGATAGAACTTAGTTTCTTCGTACATTCTTGTTAATTTCTCTAGGAAATTGGGACCGCAATGCCATTCGATTCAGGGATTTGTTCTTGTGAGCCAAGTTATAATTGGATTTCAGTTCTCATACCTCTATGGGGAAGTTTTGTGTATGGAATGATGCCTCCTAGGAAAGGTAATTTCTTGGCTCTAGGCTACTATAGTCAAGCCCTTAATATTTTGTGTAGTCTATAGGAAGCAGAACTGGCTAGAAAAAAGCTACGTCTGTTAGGCATGAAACTAATCGGTTAACGTACCTATCTGGAGCATAGAGCGGAAACAAATACCGGCCGAAAGCCTACTCTCAGGTATCCATGGCGCCAATTAGTTAGTCAATGCACGCCATGACTAATCCAATGCCACTTTTTCTCTAAAATTCTTCTCTGAAAGGCTCGGAGTTCGTCAGTTGCTAATACCTTGCATTCCAATTTGCTTAAGACCAAATGGCATATTAAGTGGTTTTCAGTCTAAAAACCATTGTGGGTTAACTGAAGTAGAGTTTGGGCATTCCAAAATTCTTGAAAGATTCGACAACATACATACCTGCTATCTGCCACGGAGTTTTGAGACTGGCTATGAAGAGCTCTTTCCCAACACACACCCAAGAAAGATTATCTAAGGAACTGACATAAACTGCCTGGAAAGGTACATTCTTGGCAACCAGAGAATACTTTTACATTTATTACCTTAGAGCTCAATACAAATTGAAACGGGTTCCACGCTTTGGGCGATTATCTAAACCGTACACTGGCTGGCTCTGACCGATTTGTGATTAGCTTTGGGATATTCAATATCATTTAGTGACCCATACGAAGGACGTACGTATGATTTTTTTCTAATAAACTATCGAGGATAGAACGATCGAACGAAATTTTGCCGCGCTTGTAACAACCAGCTTAACAAAACTTTATATCAAATGATTTTTTTGTTTATTTATTTATTTATTTTTATTCTGAGGCCTTTAAGATAAACTTGGCTCTCGCAGCAGTCTACGATTTGAAGGTCGTGCCAATCATCCATTCCTCAGACTTCAATTCAATATATCCCTCATTCATAACGATTTCTGATTAGCTATGGAACTTGATTTGGAGTTCGCCACCTTCTCCCATCCTCTAACTTGATAATGGTGAGAACTGTACGACCAGTTTTTAGTCTGATTAATATCTCATCTACTTCGTTGGAACATTAGGAGCAAGCGGTTTGCCACCTATTGGAACTTTTTCTCGGTTCCAAGAGAGGCTGGATTATCTCAAGCCAAGTTGGGGTTTTATAAAGCGTGCTAAGTTATATTCTCACCTTCAAGCTTTCAAAGATAAAAGCATGCCTGCTAATCGACACATCGATAAGTCAATGATTGAGCTCTTTTGAGGTATTTTAAAACTCTGGCGGTATGTTTTATTACTTTAATATAATTTAACTCCTTTCTACTACTATCTATTTCGCCTCTAAACTTTATATACGCAACCTCTGCTAGCTTTATCAATAAGGGACTACTGGATATTTAGGTTACTTTCATTATTTATTTTTTCCAGCTTTCGTAAGACAACCAATTCAAATATTGCTTCGAGCTTTAATACTTACACCACACACTACTAAGAAGAAGTTTTAAGCGTTATTAGCATTTAAGATGAGTCAAATTTTTATGAGTCTTAATATTTAAGTGAACGATAAGTAAATAAAATAGCAGATTTTTAACAAATAAATTTATCATACAACTTTTATTTACAAGCTTAGCTTGATTATGAATCTTTACATTCATTTAATTTATTAAATTATTCGGCCTAATTGCACAGTAGGTTTGCGGGCATGCGCAGCGTTGAGCCCGCGCCAACAAACCGGTAGAAGACTAGACCTACAGCATGAGCGACACCCAAGTGCGGCCGCTGCTCCAAACCATCACTGTCGTGTAGCATAACGGCGAATATTTTCAAAACATCCGCTTCGCTCTTGAAGCTCACAAACTCCACGAAGCCCTGCACGCCGCGATAGACAAACACGCGTATGGTGCAACAATCCTCGACAAAGGCAAGCAACGTTTCAGTGGCTATTTGCAGGGTGATTAACGAATGCGGCTTGCGCGCGCTTATACTTTGAAAGCGCGTGCCGGAGAGGACATCCAAATACAAAACGACTTCAGCTTGTTGCATGCCCACCAATTGCGGTACCTCTACGGTGACTGCCAGCAGTTCAAGCGGTTCGCTTGAATGCGCACGCACTAAGATGGGCAGAATTTCACCGGCGCCAGGAGCAGGTAAATTTCTGTTGGCAAACTTTAGCCAAGTGTTGTTTTCGCGTGTGAACTCAATGGGGGTTTCTACGGTTGGTACTTTATCTGTCGCATCGAGCACGCTTGCCGACATTTCTAAGTCCTCCTCACGAGTTGTTGGCGCTTGCGTCTCTTTGAGCGCTTCGGCCTTTAGCACGCGCACCGTGTTTTCCAGATAGTGCTGCAAACTGCGTATGCACTCAATGACAGCGCTCAACTCCCACGCATGCGCAGCCGCATCGTCGCCTTCAAAGAGCTGTGTGCCATCCTCTATGCTATTGGCCAGTATGAGCACATCACGCACTGTTGTGCCCAAATGATCCATGATGGTCATAATGCTGGCCACATCTGCTGCATCAGCACCCTGTAGGTAACCCTGTATTTCCTCCATGTCCACAATGCTAGGCCACAAGATCTGCACAGTGCGCCCTGCCAATACCTGCGCCGGATTTTCGGGCAGCTGCAGCATGTCCCATTCAATGCTTTCGAAGGTCGTGTTTGGGTAGATTTTTTTGGCGCCTAAGCTCCTCCATTATTGCTATAAAGTCCTGCATCAAGTGCTCGTCGTGCAAATCCGTCTCCGGTATGCTGAGTTGTGTAATATTCACCTCAAGTCGCAGGCGGTAATTCAAGTCGTCAAGAATGTGTCCGATAACAACGCGGAAGTCAGCGAGTTGGAATTGATGCGTTAGCGAAGCATTCGGCTTTAGCACAACTTCGGTAAGGTTGTAAGCTTGTGGGCGAATTACACGTTGGTAGGAAAGGGGTAGACTGTAATTCGGCGCTGAGGTCCGCTTGTCACGCGCGCTAAACTCGTCATCGTTGAAGAGCAGTATTACCTCGCCGTTGGTAACCATAAGCGCCTGCGAGTGGTGGGGTACAAAGCGATAGCTCGTGTTGTCCAGCCAGTCAGGCAGAAACCAGGTATTGGTGTGGCTGAGTTTACTCAAATCATAGCCGTAGACGGTATCTGTGTTTAAAGCGTATAATTTGTCGGGCATGTGTGCCGATAACATCAGCTCAGTGGCCGGTTTCTCAAATGACTTCAGCAATGTAAGGTTATTGCGCTCCAGACGCCAGTACTTAAGTGAACCTTCTACGCCTGCCTTGTTAGTTACAAAGTGTATAGTGTTTGACACTGACATCCCCGCTGCTTCCATCGCGATTACTTGATTGATGGTGCCAGACTGAAAGATGACTACCTCGTCGTACATCCCACTAAGTGGGTTCCACTTTAACACACGTGTTTGATTAACCATATTAATTAGGAGGTAATTGACACCTTCGTTTTCCATAGCGAATACTGCCTGTATTTTCTCAATGCGATCAGCATCTGCTTCAACCTCCCTTTTCAAGTCCAACTCAAATGCCCGCTCCAAGTATTTCAACTGGTAACCGCGTCGCTGCTGCTTCTTCACCAGCCTCCTCAACTGCTCACACAAATCCTCGTATTGCTTACCTTCGCGCACGCTACGTATCAGCGCACCAAAGGGCATTGGTCGCGGCCGCCCGCTGGCCAAGTAGCTTGGTAATGTGGGCCCAGAGTTGACATTTAATGTGCGCGCACTCCAATTGCCGGTAATGAACTGCTGCGATTTGCCGGCCGTTCGCAGCGCGGTCCTGAACCATTCGTCCATGTTTATGCCTGACATGCGGTATTTGGTTTTTACTTCCGTTGCATTCACATCCTCAAAATAGAGCGGCGACTCAAAATGCTGGTCGCCGTTAAGCATTGCAACTTCACGCAAATCTTTATCATTGTTTACAGGGGCGTTGGTTCTTAGATTTCCACGCACTAATGCGGAATGCAGTGTTAGCGGCGTAATGACGTGTTGATTTCCATGAGTCTGAAAGTAAGTATGGAAAAATAAGAGGTAAGTAAACGACAGGATAGTGGGGAGAAGTAAAAAATACTGGAATGTTTCATGGCTAACATTGCTATTTGATATTCTCAGACAGTAGAGAACAGCCTTCCAACTGCATCGACTTTCCTTTACCGGCTGAAGATCGGTCACTAATATCGTATCGTCGGCTTAGACTCATCCAATCGTATTCATTTGAAACCCACTCATCTTCTTTGAATCCCTAGCAAATACCTCTGCGATTTTGTTGCATAGAAGTTCCCGGCTCAAAGCGGCTTCAATAACTGCCGAAGTTAATCCAGCCGGAAATAATTAAACGTTGTCAAGAGGATCAGCAAAAGGAGAAGAGTCCTACTAGGATAGAATACTACATCAATTAAGAAAATAATCTTGGAAAACAGAATAAAAACCGAGAGGGCAATCTGAGTAGCCTGGGATTCAGATTAGGCCAATCCAGTCCAAGGATAGATATTGATATTGTGTCCACCTAAAACTCAGCAGTGCTCCTATAAACACTACAATGTCTAAGGATTTTCTAAAGCTCTCAAGAAGTATAATTTTCAGCACCATAAAACTATACACACAACTTTTCTGCGAATTTCGCTTGGTGCGATAACCAATGTCCTCAAGGCAATAGCCCGCAGCTCTTGGTGTGTGACAACGAAACTTTACTAGCTACTCACAAGGCAATTGGCCTGTCGGTAGTAGCTATTATCTTATGCCTGTACAACATAAAGCAGAAATTGGCAGTGAAAGAGTGCGCTGAGGAGATCGCCTGTGTTGAATAACACGATAAAATCATGCTTGGTTGCCACTATCGCTCTATAAAACTGCA